AGAGGAACACTGTTTAGGATAGAACGAAACTCTTGCCATTTGTAATCCAGAGGAACAATGTGTAGGACAGAGTGAAACTCTTGCCATTTGTAATCCAGAGGAACAATGTTGAAGATAGAGTGAAACTCTTGCCATTTGTAATCCAGAGGAACAATGTTGAAGATAGAGTGAAACTCTTGCCATTTGTAATCCAGAGGAACAATGTGTAGGATAGAGTGAAACTCTTGCCATTTGTAATCCAGAGGAACAATGTGTAGGACAGAGTGAAACTCTTGCCATTTGTAATCCAGAGGAACAATGTGTAGGATAGAGTGAAACTCTTGCCATTTGTGATCCAGAGGAACAATATTGAAGATAGAGTGAAACTCTTGCCATTTGTAATCCAGAGGAACAATGTGTAGGATAGAGCGAAACTCTTGCCATTTGTAATCCAGAGGAACAATGTTGAAGAAGAATATTATAAAGATTTTGCATGTGAAATGTGAACATTTTTCTGATGCATAAAAGTATTTTTAATCCTATCCTAAAACGAAAATTACTTTGAATGCGGGATAGGCAACATGCAAAAAGAAAAAAAAAAGCATGAGAAAACAGTGCTTTACAAACCTTAAGACTTAATAAAAAAACTTGATATTTTGCATTGTAATGTTTACTGATAATCTAGTTCTTAACATATGTTTACTAATTTAAAGGTTATAGCATGAAAACTATAACAAGCACAAAATGGTTACGAGGTCAGTCCAAGGGACTGAGCCCACGCTGAAAAAGTTATGGGGTGTGATAAGAAAAAAGACAGCTGTCTGACTTACGTAGTTTAAAATATATTCTTTGTGTTGGTTATAAACATGTCCAATAATTATGGCAGAGAGAATTATATAGCAATTTAAGACAGGATATAGGAGATGTGTGTGTCAATATAGGTTGAAGAAATATATTGATATCTCAGTAAAGTAAGAGGTTGAAAGTTTATATTCTGGCTTTATCCACATTATATATTTCTAATTATCTGAATCCCTTATAATGAAAGATAAATCTATAAATAAGAAGTCATGATATCACTTCATCATATGATTTATAGAGGTGCAGATTGAGAATTTATTTAAATATTTCTTTTAGAACTTAAATATTAGATAATGTAAAAATTTTAATTATAAACTGTGTTTTGATGTTAAGTTTATTAATATACATTGATGATAAAGTGGTCTGATTAAATTTTGAATGTAACAGGGTTCTGACATATGCACTTTGATCCATCTGTATCAGTCAGGTAACCTGCTACAGTTATAACACCTGTTATTTTTATGAAAATTCTAGTAAAGCAGTCTATAAAAGTAATGTTTGTGGATGCTTACTGCCTCAGTCATTATTATCTTTCAAGTTTAAAAAATTGTATTTAATAGTGACATTGTTAGTTTTTTTTTTCCTCATCAGTTCAACAATTTCTTAATAATTGATAGTCACATTGTGGATTCTTGTTTCCTCATCAGTTCAACAATTTCTTAATAATTGATAGTCACATTGTGGACTCTTGTTTCCTCATCAGTTCAACAATTTCTTAATAATTGATAGTCACATTGTGAACTCTTGTTTCCTCATCAGTTCAACAATGAGAATGTGAAAAATAAGTTTTAATACTATTTTTTGTATAAAAGGTTAATGCACATTTTGTATGCAATTGTAAGTTAGAGGATGTACATAGTGTTTCACCTATTTTCAAGGATTAATTTATGTGATTGGTTACATAACTTGAAGTTAATCATGGTAGGTAGCTGTTGTTCCTTGGTAAAGCATGTCAAATCATTTTTCATCAGTTAAAAGTTCTGTTGCATGAATTGGGTCTGACTACTTTCATATAAATACTAGTTTAATGTATTAACTCTTTCAGCATGGGCTCGGTCCGTGGGACCGACCTCATAACCATTTTGTACTTGTTATAGTTTTCATGTTATAACTTTTAAATTAGTAAGTGTATGTTCACAAAATTTGAATATCAGTAAACATTACAAGGCTTTTGTACACAAAATATCAGTTTTTTTTTATTAAATCTTAAGGTTTTTATAAGTAATGTTTTTCTCGTGCCTTTTTTTTATCATGTTGCCTATCCAACATGCAAAGTAATTTTCATTTTAAGATTAAAAATACTTTTATGCATCAGAAAATTTTCAAATTTTACATGTGAAATCTTTATAACCTCCAGGTAATTATCAAACGTTTTTTAAGAACAAACTATTTTATCCGTTATTTTTGTAATATTTACTTTTAAATTAAGAAATTAGATATTGTATAATACTAAAATTTAAGTTATAATCTACAATGTGATACCAAACTTATTGACATAAATTCATAAAATCGTAGTCCAATAATATTTTGAATGTGAGTCAACAAATGCGATGACATGGCCTTTGACCTGTGTGGAGAGGGTTAATAACTTACAGAACCACTGTTAAAAAATAATGAGGCATTACCTTTCTGTGCTGCTAACACTAATTTAAGTGCATGAGAATCAACATGTTTTGAGTCATAACTTACTTGGAATTGGATTTGTTTTATTTTTTCACTTTCCATTCTCCAATTAAAGTAGAAAATATATTTTAAATTAATTATTTGTTGTTTTTTTTTACATTCTTTCCAATTGAAATTATTAACATGTTTTGGAAGATGTTGTATAAAGTGAAACTGTACAAGTGCAGACACGACTTGAGTTCAAAACTCTGCTTCTTCTTCCTTTTTTTTTATTACTATTATTATATATATATTATATTATTATCTCAGACTATGTTTGAAGATGTGAGCGGTTTTGGGGCTTGGCATCGTCGTTGGTGCGTCTTACAGGGTAATTATGTAGCCTACTGGAAGTATCCTGATGATGAGAAGAGAAAGGTACAAGAAAATAATTCATATATTCAATTAGTGATTACGTGTTTCATAAGAACCTTTTCTTGAGAAAAGTAAATTTTTAAATAGTTAATCCTTTAATAAAAAAATTGCCACCTGCTTGCATTTCTGACACTATGTTTCTAAGCCTTTTTTTATTCATTACTTTTAAAATCTTGTGTAGTATTTATTAAATATGTATGTGTATATATACCCCAAGTAAAAAACTAAGAAATGTAATTAAATAGTTTTAATGTAGACTATTTGATTTAAATGTTGCAATATACGTTTTTGAAAAAATTAACCTTTCTTGCTTGTCAGTGTATACATATATATTTGTGCAATAATCTGTAGGTTAATTCTGTTTTACACACAATATTCTTTTGTGTGTGTGTGAATAGTCTTTATTTTCATTTCAGAAAATGGTTTTTGCTCGGGAGAAAAGGACCATATTTTTGGATTATTGTTTTAAAGCTGTAATTAAACTGCAGTTTATTTCATAGTTATTTTCATCATGCAAATGTTACATGTAACAACGATGCTTTGTTAAAAAAAACATCTGTCATATTCAAATAGGAACCAATTGGATCCATTGATCTAAGGCAGTGCGTTACATCTCAAGTTGGATTGGTACCTCGAGACATTTGTGCCAGATCTCACACCTTTCAGCTTGTTACGATTAGACCTCAAGAGAAAGGTGACCGTGATACTTTAATATCCCGCAGCCACAAGACTGTCACATCCACAAAGTAAGTGTGATGATGAGGAACCCACTTTTTAGAAAATAAAGTCTGGGGACGGCTTGAATAGGTAGTGAAAGAAACTTTATTAAAAATGTACGTTTTGACTAACTTATGTTCATCATCAGGTACCTGATCAGGACTGTAATCTTGTCAAAATGTTTTACATTTGTAAGAAAGTTTCTTTCACTACCTATACAAGTCATCTCCAAATTTTATTATCCACAAAGTAAGTGTTGTGTAAAGTTAATGACATTGAAACTTTGTAAGGTTGTATTTGTGTTGTAATTTTTAGTAATAAGTTGTAAAAAATTCTCAAGGTGTAAAAAAAAACAAGACATTTTGTTAACAGATGGAATTACAGAATTGGGGGAGCGGGGGGTGATGAGTTTTTTGACAAAATTAAATGAATTACAAATTTTTACATATCTTATTTCTTACAGTAAAAATTCTGACTTTATGTATTCTAGGCACCTTCTGTCAGCTGACACTAAAGAGGAACGTATTGTATGGTGCACACGATTAAATGAGGCACTTGGAAACATCAGAAGATGGGACCCACAAGCTCTGCAGCCCCCTGACTTTAGTCATGTGAGTTAAAAGCAGCAGTGGGTACCTGAAATATTTACATTTGCTTTTCACTCGTATTGTTTTTATTGAATACGCATGATTGATTAAGCTACAGTGTATGGAAATAAAATAACCATGCCAATATATATAAATATATAAGTGTTTTATTCATAATAAAGAACAAATAAAATGCTGAATATTTTTAGGATGTTGTAAACTCTGAACTTGTTGATATATATTGTGAAGTTACAAGAAGAAAAATAATGTGAGTTTATGTGATCAGTTTCTCAACTATATTTAATGTGAAGTGTCATAGTGCCATTCAGGAAATCAGATACAAAATTACATTTTACTAAGTGCCTGCCTTCTTTAGCCGTGTTTTTTTTAATTTAAAGCTTTCTGTAGTCAGCATGCTTAGTTTTTTGTTTTTGTTTGTTTTCAACCTATTAAGCTAACTGAGCAGAAAAATTAGAGAAAAAATGCACCGTGCTTCTATTAAATTTCAGTGATTATTTTTTTTTTACCGCATATGAGGTACGACTGATGTTACCATTTTGGTTATGAAATTTTGACTGTGTATGTCAGTTTTACTTTTTAATGTTTAGAAGATAGTTCTACAATTTCATCTTATTGTCAAAATAAATCCCTAGAAAGTACATCACTTGTGGTATTTTTGTTTTTATATATATACTTCTGTATTCCCCTATTTTCCTAATTAGCTTTAACTCACTAATTAACTGTGATTATGGAAAAATATTCTAAATTTATTTTAGTTAGATATTGGTAACTATAGCTACCCATTTGTAACAATTATCTGTTTCTAATTTTGATAATTTAAATGTAACATTTTTATATAAGTTGGATAGCTAATACCAAACCAAAAAAAAAATTGATGTTTGTATGAAATAAAATTATATGTAAGATATTTTTCTACAAAATCTTAACTCCTCTTACAGTAGTGTATAACTGTATTTAAAATAAATTGCAAGGGTAAGTCAGGTTGTTGTTTCTTTTTAGTTAGATAACTCTTGGGAGTTACAGATGGGATGGATACTTGTCCAATTCAGCAGAAATTAAATGATAGTCATTAGCAGCCTTTAAACTAGTTATATTGGTATTCTAATTCAGTTTCATATACGGTGGACCCTCTTTAATCCAAAACCTGGCAGATCCAAACCTGAAACTACTACACGCATGCACATTTTGATTTCGCTATTTAGAGTATTAACACACACACACACAGTTAGATCAAAATGGGGGCTGGGAACAAGAAGAGAGCTCATAGAAGCCTTACCATCGACCAGCAAGTGAAAATCATGGACGATATTAGAAAGATATATAATTACAATCAATATACAAATAATTTGTATTCGTAATTATGATGTGTAAATTCTATTTCATTATGTTAAAAATGTACAAACTTATCATTACACTGTATTAATATTCTATAATGATATTCAGACACTTCACTAATCTGAAGTGGCTTACGTCCCAGACTATTCAAATTAGTGAGGGACTACCGTATTCACAAAACAACTGCAAAAATGTTAATCACGTATTTTTTAAATGGGAATTCTGAATATAAACACGATTGTCATTATATGTGCAGACTTCAGTTCCAACACTTAGTTTCCCAGTAAATTCTTATATGGTGTGGAGGAAAACTGGCTGAAATAATTAAATATTTTATGTTCAGTGTTTTGTGAGAAGTATGGAACAAGTAAAACTTATTGATCTCGGAATTAAAAGTGTCGTCAGTAATTCATGATATGTACTACACGTACAATTATGAAAAGCTAATACTGTTCAATTTGTAATTGATTTTGGATATGAAACTAACAACTTTTACACAGTAGTAGTTACATATTTCATGAAAACTGTTAAATTCCTGAACAAACAACATATAATTAGCATGTACTGTGTGATAGTGAGAGTTAAAGCTATACATGAACTGATAGAAATTTGCTACAAAAATACTCTGTAAATATTTGTGAAAGGTTTAGAAGAAAAAACGTTAATCACACTCCAGAAATAAATGATTGTAATGAAACCCAATGTTTTGGCTTAGACCTTTTTCAAGGGTTACAGTATCACGTAGAAATACAATTTGATAACCTATGAGAACAGGTGTAACAATTGGAAACTGACTTAACAATAAAAGTGTCATGTGTTATTGAAAGCACATTAAAAAGAATTACAATAACTAAGTGACAGAAAATTCAAAGTTATCAAATGTGATATGTTTTTTTTTTAATTTTCTAAACATGGTTTGAATTCTTCAGTGTGCACTGCAAAGTTTAAAAACTGGTTTATGTGGGTGCTTAAAAACCTGGAAAATGCATAATTATAACCCTAGGCGTAGGAAATGTGCAATTTATATATTCGTCAGTTTTGGAAAAATTATTGAAAACAATTCAATCAATCACATGCATTTATGTTTATTTTGTTAATTATATGACCATTATAACTTGGTAAATATTGTCACACATTTACAGAAAGCGTCATACTTAACCTACTGACTTTCCAACAGAGGTAGTAGAGGTTGAAATACAACGAGGCAAATTCATATAAAGATCTGTACCTAATCTTTATGTGATACAGTGCATGAAGATGTCCAATGTTACAGAATTGGCTTGTGGAGGTTTTTTCTGCTTTACCAACTCGGCAGGTAGATATTTGTTTGATTTCTGTGTAATTCACATATATAATAATGATGCAAACCTCAGCAGTTGGTCTTTGGCTTAGCTAGCTTCTTTGACTAAATGTCATGATTAGAAGTGATTCAATGACCAAATTTCCAAGTCCTTCTTTGTATAAGGTCATTGTCGTGGAAACTACATTTTGAAATTACGTTGCAACTTGAGCACTGTGATCAAATAAAACTAGTATTTATAGTTTCCTGTTTATAAAACATGCATGCTTGGTACTCTTATCTAGGATTACAAATGGCAAAAGTTTCGCTCTATGATAGTTATCAAACGTTTCTAAGAAAATAACTTTATATTTTATCTGTTATTTTCAGTAACGAATCTCTGTACAGGTTGGGTCAATTTGACCAATCTCGTAACCATGTTAAAAAATTAGGAAACAAATATAAATTTTGCCTTTTTCATTCTAGAATTACTACATATTATACCACAAAAACATAAATGATTAGATTAAATAGCTTAAATCTCATAAAATTATACATTTATATTATTTATTATTTTTATTATATTTACCTTTCAGCTGTGCCTAGCTAACAGTAACAATACAGAAGTTACAATGACATGGCTCACTTGCACTCATGTTACCGTATCAAATAACATAAAACTGACCTTTGATCTGCACAAAGTAACTTGTCTTGGTTGTGTTTAGTAGACTAGTATTTTGGAAAATAGTCACATTTTAATTATTATACATCATATATGTATATTGATTATTGCTATTTAGAAATAAGTTCTTAAACTTATTTTTCTTAAAACATAAACAGTAAATAAAAAAGTAAAGCAAACAATTATCTCTTCTTGTTATGACCTTTGTACTTGGTTGCTGCTTGACGTAGGTTGCTAAGTCTTTAAAAAAATTATATGTGGAGGATATGAAACAAAATATTTTTTGTAGGTTTTATATGTACTTTTGAATACCTAAAAAATCATAAATTACTACATTAATACAATAGAATTCCACTATAATTTATCAAGCTTAGTAACTAAGA